TTGCTGGATTTCGTCGATAGTACGCTTAAGGACAACCACAAAACAAATCTTTAACAAGATTTCATTCGATCTACCCTACAACCTTGCACACCCGTGTACAGGCTCTGTTCCCAGGGTTCTGCACTCGTATTAGGAGATGGTTATTGGTGGTTGTTGGACGTTTGGAACGGTGTTATACGGTTATCGCTCAGACAGAACGACTATTTGTTGTTTTGTTGTTGAGTTTTAGTTGTGTAGTGTCGGTCTCATCTCCGGTCTCCCCCACCCGTCATCCACCCTCATCATCTGGAGCCCACCGCGAGGGGTGATCGAGTGTTATATTGCAAAGAACTCTGTTTAGTGCAAAAACAGCTGTGACAAGAAAGAAGACAAGCAAGCGCCCACACGCTTGGATCAAAGTACAAAATTCCACCAAAAGGGAAACAGAAAGATCTCACTAATTCCCAACCAAACGACTTCCCTGGATTGTTAAGAGGCGTTGGAGAACTGCGACCAACACCACTTTTCGTTCCCAAATTAACGAAGAAACCAACACCGAGAACCACGCTCAACTCACAAGGAGCTCGGAACAGAGAAGCACCACAAAAATCGACGAAACCTCAAGCATCTTCGTCGCGAAACCGATTCAAGCATCGAGCAAAAAGCGCTTACCAACAAAACCAGCTACAAAGCGCAAAACAACCGAAAGGAACACTACAGTCGAAGAAGAACAGCAATCGTCGACACCATCTTCGCCTTTCACGGACCTATCTGAAGGTGAACACAACACAAATCGGATTAACGAACAACCGATTGAACAAAACAACAACATGGGGGATAACGGAAACGTAAATAATGGAGGTCTTGGAGGAGCGGCTGCGTTTTAAAGTACCGGAAACCTGGGATTCGGGTCGTCCGAGTTTCGATGGGAAGACTCCTGGCAAGTTGGAGAAATTCCTAGACGAATGCGATCGCATTATCGACCAGGCGAGTATTACTGAAGCGGCGGAAAGAAGGAGACGGTGTTGCGGTATTTGGATACTCGATATGTGAAGGAAGCGTGGAAGAACTTGACGCCATATGGAGGAGGAACGTTCGAAGAGTGGAAAACGGCGATAAAGTCGATGTATCCAGAGTTGGATGAGGTGAACGAAGGGTCGAGGAGGCGTTTGAGAGAGATTTGCGCGAAGCCAAGGGGGCGAGTCGAGAGGATTTGGGGTTGGTTACTCGTTTTTGTGCGTTCTTCGTACCAGAAGCAGAGAAACTACTCCTGCCTCCCTCGTTGGTCACGAACAAAGAGTTGGTGTCCTTGATCTTGAATACGTTGCGTAGCGATTTCGCGTCAGCAGTCGAAGCGGCGCTGAACCAGCCAAATATCGCGAATATTCTAGGGCCAAACGCAAATGCAAATCAGAACGCAGCAAACACTCGTAGAGGGGATCGTTGGAGCTACAAGGAGGTTCTCAAGGTGGTGGCATGGCTTGCGAACAACTGGTCGGGCAGAGAAGCGGATGCGGTATCGAGGGATGATGCTAAACCATCGATCTCGATGTCGAATCTCAGTGGAGGACCGTTAACCTCGGATACGAGGGTCAAGTCGGAGTTTAGAGACCAAATGGAGAGTTTTGCGCTGGAAATAAATGCGTTAAAGGACGTCATGGCCGTGCGGGATAAGCAGTTGATTGAGACTATGAAGCAGATGCATGTAGCAACTGAATCTAGATCGAAGGAAACAGCGACTCACCAGCACCAAGGGCAGCCTCAACGAGAATATCGCCAGGGTGGAGAGCGAAACTATGGTGGAATGCAAGGAAATGAACAGTGTCATTTCTGCGAAGAGACTGGGCATATGGTGCGGGATTGTCCGAAAAAGAGGGCGTTATTGGACCAAGGAAAGATCGTTATGGAGAATGGGGGTTTGCGATTACCTGGTGGATATTATATCCCCAAGTATCCTGAGAACGTGTCACGTTATCAACGAGTGTTGGATTGGTATAGCAAGGGAGGAGGAGCTGGAACGACTGGGAACGCGCAAGCGAACTATCAATCGTCGTTCTTCAACGAGTATACTCCGAACGAGCAATACAATCTCTTGTATGACACAAGCGAAGACGAAATCCGTTCGTTACGGGCCCAGATGGCGGCTATGGCGAAGCAAGTGCAAGCCAATAGCATGTCGACTGGTGGCCAACAGCAGCGTTTTTCAAGTCCTCAAGCACCAGTGCAGACCTATCCACAGATCCTTCAACGGGAACCCATGGTGCAAAACGGAAGTGGTGGAAGAACGCAGCAGCGAATGGGGGAGAGTGGAGTTGGGAACGGCTTATCCTTCCTTCATTCAAGCGCCCGTTCAACCGGGCTTGCCGGCAGGGGATTCGAACTTTCAACAGTTCTTGACGATGTATAACATGGTTCAGGCAATGCAGAATTCGCCTGGGTCGGGTTCGCAATCGGGAGGACAGTCGATGGAGTCGCAGTACGCGAACATACGTTCGCAGAAAGACAACTCGGCTGGCGGAAACCAAAATTTTTAGATAGTTCGAGGATGGAGACCGGAAGCAAACAAAAGAAGGCTTCCGAGGCAACGAAGTCTCTTGAGAACCGATCTAAAGTTGCGAAGGAAACGTCAAAACGGAGGCAGGACCGAAGAGAACTGGAGGAGGAGTCAAATTCGGATAGTGGAGAAGAAACAGAACCCAAGTGTTGGAAAAAGAGGATGTGCCGAAGAAGAGACGAAAGGCGCTTTCAGAGGAGAAGACTCGGAAGATGAGAAATTGGAATACGCAGCGAGGATGGCTCCTCATTCGGAATCTCCAGGGCGAAAACGGGGAAACGCAAGAACGGCGAGGAACGGGCGTATAAATTGGCTACCAAGTTCGATGACCCAAATATTATTAAGCGTATTGTTGAGAAAACGGAGAGTACAGTCGTATACGATATTACCGTGGGCGATTTGATCTCGCTTTCGCCAGAATATGCCAAAGCTATGAGGAAGTCAACGAATCGAACGAGGCAACCGATAAAGCCAGTGTTACTTAACGGAAAACTTGACGAAGGATCGGAATATCCATTCATGGAGGACGAGGGTGTCGAAGCTCGACTCCAAAATGATGCTGTGGATATAGATGAACTACCAATGGTTGATTCGTTCTATATCTCGACTGAGGAAGATCGTCAATACGGGATAAAGGAAGGGTGTTATGTTAGCACCGACCCTTATCTGCAGTATGTCGCCGTTATCCCCAGGAGAACCGCCTAAACAAGTGTTTTCGGGAAAGGACTCTGCGTCGTTACGAGTTGTATGGCCGTTAATCGCAGCAAGGGAACATGTGGAATGCGTTATAGACAGTGGCTCTCAGATAGTCTCGATGGCGTTATCGGTAGCTGAGCGGTTGGGAATCCCTTGGGATCCAGATCTGCAAATCTACATGCAGAGCGAACGGGCAACTGAAGAAGTCGGCTGGATTAGCGGAACGTTTGTTTCTTGTTTGGGGACATACCCGTGTATCTGCAAGTCCACGTTATCGACCAAGTAGCGTATGAGGTGTTGTTGGGACGACCATTCGACATCGTTACCGAGTCAAAATTGGAAAACTTTGGAAATGGGAATCAAATGCTCACCATTCGCGACCCTAACAAGGAGCGACGATGTCATCATTCCAACCCAAGCGCGGGAACGTTTTCATCGACAACCAATTCGAAGAGGATTGAGAATGCGCAGAAAGAATCGCCAGGGCAAAAGGAGAACCGAGACCATCGAGTTAAAGTCGAAGCGGAGTCGGATTTTCAGAGCTCGTCCAGGAACTAGTGGAGGACTGGGGAGGCGAGGAACTGTGTATTAGGGTAGGAGTGGACGAGTCTGGAGAGTTGAGAGTGGAAGGGTATATGGAACCTGAGGATGGGCGTTGTTTCTCGGATGATGAATTGCGAATGGCGTACACTACGGACATTGATGTATTTTCTGCCCCAGAAAATGCACAGAAAATTTGAAATTTTCTGATGATCTTCTGAAGATTTTCCGAAGATTTTCTGTCACAGAAAATTTGGAATTTTCCATCAATCTTCTGAGAATCTTCTGGAAATTTTCCAGGTCAGAAGATTGCCAATTTTCTGGCACGGAAAATTTTCAGAAAATGTCAAACTCGGATCTGTGATCCGGCCGATTGCATCTTTCTAGCACACTAATTAGGCATCATGCGGCAGTGCCCGGATTTTAGTAATAATAATAATAATAATAATAATAATAAGGCAAACAATATTCAGTTAGTCTCACCTTGACAAGTATGATACACAACATTACTATTCATACCTGCCCACCTTACATGGCGGGCCTCTTCTCCCACAATTTCAATCATCGCCATGCTATCTTCTGATGTTGATAAGAACAATGTGCCCGCATCCAGCAGCTGGCTAGAATCAAATGTTGGCAAGACAGACCCCCCCATCGACTAAATTGTAGACTTGAGATCAACCCAACTCTGTTGTCAGCATTACAAGCATCGGGAACAAATTGTGACAAACCTCAAGCAAGGCGAACAGGGAGCTGTACCCACGGTGGGTCGAGCATTTACGTTCACGATGAACCTTGACCGCTTCAATGCCATATGGAGCAGGAGTAAGGAGTCGGCAAAAACAAGTGCTTGGGTAATCAACCGATCTGTTGAGGAAGCACTTGCTGGATAGATGTTGAAGGAAGGTTGGCTTAGAGGCGACAGACAAGGGTCGAGAGCCAATGGTGGCGGCAACGCAAAAAGTCGAGTTGATGCTTATGTAGTGTGCGGCATGATGGTGCTGAAAAAGTCAGAGCCGCTTGCATCTCCTCCATCAGCAGCATTCTCCTCGCCGAGCAAGCTGGGTACAGTGGTTGTACTCTCAGACTCGCTAATCGTCGGGCGCGGTCTCGCTGACACTGACGCTTGTGGCCCGCACTGGCTTCAGAAGGCGCTTTATCGCTCCCATCATCAGTCTCGGCGAACACAAGGGCTCTCGAAATTAACCCCTCCTTCACAGTTGTATCCCCATCAGATGTCGTTAAGTAATGCCAGTGAGTCCATGGCCCCCAACTTTGCGCTCAACCTCCGCCTTTTCGAAACCAAGAGTGCTGTTCCTGCGAGTCTGTTCAAGCAGACTGAGAAGAGGCCTTCCACCTCCCCATCAATCGACTGTTCGCATGCCCAGTCCGCGACGGCCGCTTTGTCCTTGTCAAGGGCTTCCCGTAAACCTTGGGCATGATCGACAACATCATGTTCAACGTGGACAGTCCGCAGGTGAACTGAGCCGCTTTGATGCTTCCCGGATGCGCTAGGGAGATGTGCCATGCTGACAAGCTGGGTGTGGTCCCATTTTCGTGTGGTTGTGCGTTTGCCCGTCTTCGTGAGGATGTGGCTTCAATTCAATTTCTGACAGATAGTATCAGTTGACCGCCGAAACAGAGCAATAGAACCACTTGGGTGGCTGGGAAAGAGAAAAGGTACCAGCATGGTCAGTTCCTTCAGGGCCAAATGCAAAATCGCGCGCGCGGCATCGAGAAAGCGCTGTTGAGAGCGTTCTTGCGTCAATTGGTTGTCTTCTTGATGGGCAAAGGGACGATGAAGTTGGATTTCGGCTGCATGGGCCATACTCCGACCAACGAGGTCATTTTGTTGATCCATGGACGAAGGATCGGATTGACTGGAGGGATTTGGTGGGCTGCAAATTTCCTCGATACGTTTGTCGATGGCAGAAAATCGGTCGTAGAAGGCTTGTGCTGCTTCGACATTATGCGGAGAACCTATCAGGATGTCAGAACTGTGTCCAAATTGGAGTTCAGAGCCAGTACCAGGTTTCCACTCAGATCGGGTAACTAGATGGTTCGCAGCCTCCCAGAGCACAGCGGCTTTGGCAAGTAGTTCCTTTGAGGACTTGGGCGGCTGGTGGTCGCCTACAGCGAGGAAGGTTTGTACAATGTCGGTCATCCCAGAGACCTGAACCAGTTAATCAGCGTCTGTAAAATCACGAAGAAGTACCCACCTTGGTGCCCGGCCATGGAGTTTCGATAGGATTGGTCCAATTCGGGAGTGTGTTCATGACAACCGACCAGGCACGATCCAGAACGACGATTGCCCAACAGGCGTTGACGTGTTCTTCGCCATCGGCGTCTGAGTCAGCGAGCAGCATTGCACCAGGCCGTACATGCCCGTTCCTCATAGAGTAGATGTCACTCGTGACACCGAGCGATACAGCAGTCGCGGTGTGATACAGGCCTTCGAGGAGCTTGCCCACCCCGTAAAAGTACCAGGACAGTATTATTTCGGCCTGGAGAGCGTGTAGTACGCGTTTGGGGTGAAGCCCGGCGAGTGCATTGCTTGCCAAGACAGAGCACGAAAGCGAAAAACGGCTTCATGCATTTTGAGGGATGGAGATGGTGAAATGGAGATAGCCGCAAGGTATATTGCTGAAGTAAGGGCAGGCGTAGGGACGAGAATGATGATTTATCGGCACGGACAGCATGGAGGCGTTGTAGACTTGCTCAGGGTCCAGAAAGAAGCCAAACGACGGAGCTGAAGTCATGAATTTGTCAAGTCTAAGGGAGCTATAAGATGAAAATCGAGGAAAGATGAGCTTCCTTCACAGATTCTTGGCCAAATGGAGCGGCAGTTCTTCAGCGGTCCACCATGCGTCGGGTGTTGGAACGCGGCTTGGTGGATGAAGCAACATGGCTGACGAAGTCGAGGCGTCTAAACTTGATGCAGACCGGGCATTCGAAGGTGGGTGACCTGCTTATACTAGTACGGATCGAGCAACATGACGTCCGTTTTAGCTTCCTGTGGATGCTCGAGCTGATGAATACGGAACTGAATCCGACTGATGTCTTCCTCAAGAACCTCTGCCCTCGCACGCGAGTAGTTGTCCGTGTACTCACAGTCCTCTTCCCGTGCCGAAGCGTCGACATTGGCCGCAAACGGGCCGTCTGGGAAAACAAACCAACAGAGTTTGGGTATGAATGTTCAACGAATGCAATGAAAACACACGCACTGTCCATCGCATCTCTGCAGTCGACGTCGGAGGATTTCATTGCATGGATTGAGGGACTGAGAATTCTACGGTGCCGGCAAGGGTAGCATGCTTGATTTCGCGGTAGAGCTCGTTTGGTTGAAGTCGAGCTCTCCGTGTCCATTCGAGGCCTGCCCCATCGTCTCCCGCGCTATATAACTCAACATGGCCAGGGTCACTCGCCGCGAGCAGCGGTAGTTTCAGCAACCGACCGTACAGTTGGTCAACAAATTGGTCAAAGAGAAATTGTCGACAAGATGTGACAGCGTCATCGTCACGTCGGTAGTGCCGGGCCGGACGGTGATAACACGACGTTGCTGAGATGGACACGTTTACCCGGAAGGGTTGTGTTCGGAAGATGGCCAACTTCACAACCGAACACTTGTGATGCTCTCTAGCTAAGGGTCGGAAACCTTAGCAAGACCGAGAAAGTGACGACGGCGACGCAGTGCTCGGCATTGCAGGTAATAAAGACACAATAAGTAAGTACTACAAGTACACAGGAATGGTTACAAATATTGTTATACAGCAGCAGAAGTGGAGCCTTTGGTCTTCCACGTTGAGACTATTGTCCCTGATGTTGTTGTCCGCGTCAATCAATCGCGTGCCCCAGGCCCACGAACAATGATGAGCGTTGGCACAATGTTCTGCATGGATCAGCGAGCGATATAAGGAGAAAAAGCAGGTACCAGCAGCTGGGGCAGGCCACCACGGAAAGCACGCCAAACCGTCTGTCTCCAAATATCAGTCGCAGCCAAAAGAGGACCAAGTTAACCTCACGTCCGGCACATTCATCGAGCGGAGAATGACGTAGATGACGGTCCACGCCGATATGATAGCACCAGACTCCAAGCTGCGAAGTATGAATGAGCCTGCATATAGGGAGACGAGACGAACATCATCGCGGTCGCATTGTTATATTTTCGGACGACATCAGCTTGGGCCACCGCGATCTGATTCTCGAGACCGTCAACGGTGAGTTTATATCGCGATGGATTGGGCGGCGGCGTTATGGACGACGACGTGGAGAGACTCGGTATAGGCGTTGATTTCGACAGCAGCGTACCCAACCTGGGGATATGATGAATCATCGTCACTTGCCAGTGAGTCGCTACTTCATCTGCCGTCGTTTCGAATGAGAAAATAGGATAGTCGGTCATTTATGTAGGGGGAGTGGGATGAAGACGACACAGATGCCTCGGGCACCGCTATATATATATGTCGATGTTAATCGCGAATGACTGATGACTAGACGGAGGCTATTTTTTCACCGTCAGCCACTTTTTTCTGGATGAAACCAAGGGACGACCTGCTAGATATCAGTTGGCGTTGACTGTGAGCACCCTGTGCTGCGGCGCTTGAGTTGAAGTACAAGAGCTTGCGGGCAGCGACGCTTTCCCCCCGCCATCGTTGTTTCTGACAAGTTGTCCGTAGGGCTCCAACCATTTCCGTGTACAAATGTTTGTACATGGTAATAACCGTTTTTATTTTCATTTAGTTTACCATAGTATGTAAATAGTAAATAAATGAAAACAAATGGTTTAAATGGTTATCCCCTAATAACAATAGCTGACAGGCTCATAACCATGTTACTACTAGGAATATGTCTGGTTACCACATGCATACTAGTGTAGAACATACATCCTACATGAATATGGATAGTTGCGGCATTTGTAGGCCTTCTCTTCCAGGAGTCCATCACATGATCCAGCATCAAATAAGTCAAAGGCAATGAATCTTGACCTACATGCCCATCTAGAACAGTATTACAAGTGAGAAAATGACATCCTTCACTTAAATAAACCTTATAAACTTAAGTATGTACCATAAAATTGTTAATTATTCTATGGGATTATATTAGCATTTTTAACTGTTTTTAAATGGTAATAAACGTTTACTAAATGTTTTCTTACCATTTCCGTTTAGTTTACCTGGAGGTGTAAACGGAAAACTAAATAGTTGGAGCCCTAGTTGTCCGTGTGGCTGTGGATCGGTCAACGGAGCCAAATCGGGAGCCCGGCCCGTGACCCCCTTTTTCTTCACCAACTCTGACGGAAGGCGGAGAGTCAACGGAGCTGTGCGCGGGTGTGGTGCCTTCGAGGACTGGCAGGTGGTGAGGGGCTCTTCGTCCGCAAATCCAGCTGCTTACATACTAGTACCTTTGCAGACAATTGTACTCTGTAAGCAGCATGTCACAGTGTTACACTGTTTTGAAACACTGATTACTTAATCGGTAATCGGCCCCATCAAGTGACCTGACACTCCGGCCTTGAATTTGCCTTGAATTAAGTCAGTTTCTCAATGCTGCTCCCAAACTTAAAACTCACACCTTCCTCTGCCCTCCGTGTTCCAACCCGTCATCTTCAATGGAGAACGCGGTCGTGTCTGTACGAGACCAAGCCCCAGGCCAAAGGACGACAGCCTCATGATCAGCTCCGCATTTTCGCTCCACGTCTTCCTTCCTGGCTTGATGTTTCCTGCTCGGCCCCACGGTCTTGCCAAATTTCGCCCCTGAAGCACGTATTTCTTCACCAGCACTCGTCTGTGGCGCTATTCTGTTCGGTACGTGAACGTGTTGATGGTAAGTTCCGTTGTGTTTTCACCTTCAAATGCTCATTTTCCCTCAGATGAAACTTCACCCCTTCCGGTTTGTCCATCGAGCACCGCCAACAATGCAACTGCCGTTGTGATGCCTCGCTGTCAACATCCTCCCGAAACCAGTAGAAATATCGCTCAGCGATTCTTGGGTGAGTTCTGTGCTATCCTCACGTCTAAACGCTAAATTAGCATTCAGATAATGACACAAGCTTGGATTCACAACAACAACTCTTGCGTCGCCATCGACGCCATCATCAAGACCCGGCGTCGCAAAGCATTTTCTCTCTACAATCTTACCCCCAACAGCGCTGGTTATTTTCCGGAGCTTGCCTGCGGCGCCGGGGTTTCGACGGCAGGAGGCACAGCGCAGGCTGCCTCGCCGTCAGTGATTTCCAAGCTCTGATTTTTTCGAGTTTGCTGCTGCCATCGACGCCATCATCAATTCCCGCAGAGCCATTTTCTCTCGAAAATCTTGCCCCACAGCACTGTTTATTTTCTGGAGCTCGCCTGCGGCGCCAGAATTTTGACAGCAGGAGGCCCAGCGTTCTTCCTGTTTCTGCTCCCTGGCCGTGCTTGATCATGGTGGGTAAATCCACCTTATTCGTTGCAAGATAACTGATTCCAAGGTCAGTATCCTGAACACGTCGCTCGTCTCGCTCCAAATTACGCCATCAATGATGCGATCAGCCCATTTTCCGACGATTCTGGGACGTCATTTGGACGCGAAAAAACGCGTTATAACGCGTAATTTTTTTCCAGGATTTTGCCGCCGGAGGCCCGCATACGGGAGAACTTTCAACGCAAATATTGGCGGCAGTGCGCTGCCTTCTCCCACCATCGTAAGTTTCAAACTCATCTTTTGTTCCCGTTGCTTACACCATATCTGCACTATCAGGCCGCGTTGGTCTTCTCCTTCACCAGCCATCCCCGCGATAATTTGCTTGCAGCGCTACCGACACCATTGACCTGGCGCCTTCAGCTTGCATGTCGGAAAAGACAGGAAACAGGCACGCACCTGCGGTAGACCGGCGCTCCACATTCTGATTTTTCACCTTCGGCTGAGCGTTGCTGATTCAGAGGCGACTAAAGGTGTGGGAGAGAAGGCCTCGGACCACTTGGTGGGAGAAGACAAATGATTTTTCGACCAGTGCGTGAGGAGGTTACTCGGAGTCTTGATTTAAAAGACTAACCAAAAGTATTCCACTCTGAAACAATGCAGATATGGCTCGCTATCCGTTGCTCTCCACAGTAAGCATGATGTGCGAGCTGTAAGCATTGTTGGTGGTCAGAAAAAAAGAAATGATGCGCCGTGCCAATTCCCGATCACACCGTCCTTTGCTGACTACCACGACGAGTCAACAACTCAGCCCACTTATCGCTACCTGCGGACATCTCTCAAACATGTTCCGGTTACCCGTCTCTCATCCAGTCTCATCGGACATTTCGCAGCGGGCAGAGAGTGACGCGTCATCATTATCGACTTTGGCCTCGATTTGAAAACAAATCCTACGTATACCCCCGGCACGACAACTCATTGCACATTACGAGGGTGGAAGGCGCGGGCGCCACCAGCGGTGCTGTCGACGCGTGTGCCCGTGGTATCGTCGAAGTCTGACGTCTTGCTTTATAAGGAGCCAGCTTACTGAGCTTACAGAGCCACCGATATTCACCGTATTTTCTGACCATGACCATCACCAAGGACCCTGCTGCTCCTCTTGTCGCTGTTGTAGGCGCTACTGGGACCCAAGGCGACAGCGTTGTCCTCGCCCTCACCGAATCCGACAAACCATATCGAATTCGCGCATTCACCCGCGACGAGTCGAAACCCGCGGCGAAAGCATTGGCGGAGAAGGGCATCGAGGTGGTCGCGGTAGCATTGTCGGTGGAGAATAGCGGTGCCGTATTCAAGGCGTTTGAAGGGGCGGACTATACTTTCGTGTGTGCTACCCTTTCTCTGTCAGATTCGTCCTTATATGCTCTTTAGCTTGTCACCAACTGGGCGGAACACGGAGACCCACCACGAGTGAGTTGTTACAGTCCTCAACTCATTGCATCAACTCTCTCCAGGAAACCACCGAAGGCAAGCTCATGATCGACGCTGCAAAAGCCGCAGGTGTCAAGGGCATCGTCTGGTCCGGGCTGCCCAGCATCGACGCTCTGTCTGGCGGCAAATACAAGAACGTGGGCCATTTTGAAAGCAAAGCACGCGTCTCCGACTACGGCCGCGCTTCTGGTGTCCCTTTCGTCGACATCCAGGCTGGCGGGTACGCGAGCAACATGCGCACCTTCATGCGTCCAGTCAAAATCTCCGAGGACACTTGGGCAGTCAATCTTCCCCTGCCCCCGACAACGCGGATGCCCATTATTGACGCTGAGCGAGACTATGGCCTGTTTGTCTGTAAGGCACTCGAGCTGCCGGTCTTT